CTGGACTCAGCCTCATTTCTTGGCGTGCAGCTTGGAGGCACGCTGCTCGAGCACCCGCCCGGCTGAAGCAGCGCTAGATGGAGGAAGGGCGCAGAGCTTGGCCCCCACCTCGGCTATGGTGGAGGTGACCTGGACGGAGGCGAAAGAAGGTCTAGGTACGGCAGAGGCCGAGGGAGGAGGACAAAGGAAGAAGAGAAGGAAGGAGGAGGACATTGAAGTAGGGAGCTTACCTTGGTTATGGTGGTCTTCATCTTCATGTTCTTGGTTGGCGCTGCATCTGGAGGCCCCAAGTGGCGTAGTACTTGGGAGGTGGAATGTGGCATGGCGGCCACAGTGCAAGAGGCATGATAGCCTTGCATTGTCCTTCGAACATTGGCGTTACCGTCTTAACCCGAAAACAAGGTACGTACCTAGTATTCAAGTTACCTCCGAAAATGGGTTCTGAGAAATTGATGTTAAATTTTCAAATAGAAGGTGCCCTTGAATACAAGGTACGTACGTTGTATTCAAATACAAGGTATGTACCTTGTATTCTAGGTGTGCCTTGTCTGAGATATTTCAGGGTGGTGGTTTTTTTTTTTTTTTTTTTGCTGTAATCTACTCACGACTTGCGTAAAAGATAAAAACCATAACGGTGTATCTCTCCATGTTCTAGCGGAAAATTCACTCTCGATTTGCACATGTCAAGAGTAGTGGAGCGGGTCCCAGACTCTTGAAGTCTACTTTACGCGAGCTCAGGAACTTTACTACGCTGTGGAATCATCGTGTTCTTTTTCAAAAAAAAAAAGAACTTCACGCTGCAACCTGCAGCCTGTCCTGGTAGCGTCGACGTGCGTCCTGGTAGCAGTCGACTGTATTCTATTCATGATATTATTACTAATATTACTAATTTTTTTTCATTTCCGCCCCCCCCCCCCCCCCCCCCCCCCCCCCACCTTAGGAAAATTGCACCCTAAAATTCGTTCTACAAGGTACGTAACTCGTATTCAAATACAAGGTACCCCATATCTTCTATTTGTATACAAGGTACGTACCTTGTTTTCAGGTTAAGACGGTAGGCTCCGATGGCCCGCCATAGCCACCGGCTTGACCAAGTAGAAGAAGGTGGTGTGGGATGTCTACAGTGGTCTTCTTGAGCGGATGGCAGTAAGGGAAGGATTCGGACGTTTATCTGGTTCATTCGTTGTTGTTGTTAATTATTATTATTATTATTATTGAGATGTTAGGAGAGGTTTCGACATTGATCTGCAGGAGGGAGTTCGTGGCGAGATGAAGGGAGAGGGACATTGGTTCTTGCTGGTGTTCATCCTCTTCTTCTTCGTCCATTCTCATTTCTTCTTCTTCCTTTGCCTATGTAATGAACCCAGACTGGAAGATACTCATCAGACGTCGAAGTACAGGTAGACTCAGATCTGCACAATGTTTCCAATTAACGTAAAGGTGATATCTGATACAGTATCTCGTTACCAATAGACAAAGAGAGTGGAGGGGGAATGACAGAGGAGAGGGTGGAAGAGATAACCAGTGACCACTCAAGAGCAGCACAATCAATTCCCACTCTTTCTCCGGGCTTCCTCTCCCTCCATGTCATCAATCAATAAACAGTAACAAGTCTGATAAGTCCTGATCACGTAGAAGTGCCACGTGGCACTATTCTCCCTTGGAGACAATGAAGACAATCAGCAGCGTACAATATCGACGTCAGCCTCAGGTAAGTATCCCGTCCCTCAATCGTCCACAGATCCCGATCTCCCTCCTTGTCGCAACCAGTCACCTCATGTAGACGGTGTGGCCAGTGCCACATCAGCAGAAGAGACAGGTGGGATGCGCCACATCAACAATGAAGACACGTGGCAGCGCCACCTCAGCAATGCAATGTAGACAGGCGGCAGTACCACGTCAACAATGTAGACAAGTGGCATGCACCACATCAGCAATGTAGACAAGTGGCATGCACCACATCAGCATTGTCGACAAGTGGCATGCACCACATCAGCAGTGTAGACAGGTGGCAGCGCCACATCAGCAATGTCTGGCGCACAGAACAGAAAGCGCCAGCACGCTGCCACAGTTCCACGTCGTCGTACACAGTGCCAGCGCACAGCCAGCGTCGAGTCAGCGTCCATCCAGCGTCGAGCAAGCGTTCAGCTAGAGTCGAGCCAGCGTCGAAGAAGCATAGCAAGACTGAATGTTGACCACCCGGAAACCAAGCCTTATGTAGCATTTGGCGAGGCTGTCTGGCCTCAGGTCCCACACCCACAGTCGTCCAGATTGACTCACAGCCGAGGGCCTGGATTGCATACAGTTGCAGTCTTCCCTTTGGTCCTGATGTTGTCTGGGTACCTGCATACAAACAAGTGTGTGTGTCTGACTGTTGGGCGTCCGACAGTTGACTTAAGTCAACTGTCACTCGTCCAGGCCCTGAATCTTTACGTGGGTTTCTTTTCCCCCTTCGGCCTGGTTCTGAGCGCGGCCTGGCAAGGCCCCCAGACATTCCACGAGGCATACTGCATGGGTTATTGCACCTACTTCTCTATCTAATCTCTTGATTTCAGTTGCAATTTGAAGGGCATTGTCTTTCTTTGAGTTTTGTACTGTGAGAATTCCAGGATCATAAAACTTTTCTTTTCTGACTTGCGATCTCCACTACATGGAAAAAGGAGTATGATTGATGACCTTTATTCTCCCTTTCCATCGGGGCTTTCCTGCACCCACCCAGAGCATCCCAAATCCGGGCTCTTTTTTGTGTTTCAGTGTTGTCTGTTGAGGAGGGGGAAGGGGGGTATAAATGGGACTTTACAGGGGTTCAAACGGGGGTGCCTTAGTTTTAATTTTTTTCATTTTCTTTTTTATCTTTGATTCTGTAACAAACGCTGAGGTGACCCTCTGCCAAAAGTTGTTCAGAGTGCAATTCCACAGGCCATACTTGTTTTCCAGATTTTCTTTTTTCTTTTCTGCGGTTGGGACCAGCCAGGCAGCCAAGCATGTGTCCAAGCAGAAAATTTGAGCGCGGGTGCACGGTGCGAGGATTGAACGCCTCAGCGAGGCTACAGAACAGCCGCGCCTGCCCTAAGTGAAGGTCGGCCTCCTAAAATAGGCCTCGGGACTATGTGAGCAGAGATTTGGGCCCAGTGGGAAGTTGCTGCACGCAGCGTCTTCAACCAACCGAATGGGTCCAACCCCCAGGTGATGGGGGTGCTGGGGCCCCGGGCTCAGGCAGTTAGGCCCGAGCACACTCCAAAAGGAGGCCTAGGGCGCAGTAACTGGGGACAGGGCACAGCCTGTCCAGCCAGGCTGCAAGCCTCGAGGCTGCACAAAAGGAAGTGAGGCCTAGTCACTTCCTACATTCTGGCTGACTGGACGGTGGCAGTGTTACTTGAGCGCTAACTTGCTGTTCTGGATTTCTATGGAATGTCGCACTCTGGTTTATTGTCATTCGCATCAGTGCCTGGTTAAATTGTCTACTTGATACTCCACTTAATTTCACTCAACTTAAGAAACATGGGAAAGGAACATCACAGGATGTTCAATGTTCTATTTATTATTTTACAATTAACCAGGGTTGCACCCCTGCCGACCGCCGACCCCGACCGCCGACCGTATTGCAGCTGACCAGTAGGGCCGACCGGTCGGCTGTTTGCAGACCAGTCAGAAAACAACCATCCACTGACTGTTTTTCAAATCTGATTTGGGGGTTGTACTGCGCTTGCCGAATACAACCCAAATCCGCTGAGAAACTTTTGGGGATTGGGGGGGATACGAGGGGGTTGGGGTTGGAGCATACCTGCATCGCAAGTGTGCTGGTCACCGATGCGCGGAGAGGAAAAAAAAAAAAAAAAAAAAGCGGTTGTTATGTGTGAGAAC